CGACCCCGTCTGACAAAGGTAGGAACGACAGGGAGTCGGGCTGCCAGCGCACCACCCTCCATGGTGCCATGAAGTCCACCGCTCCGCAACACGTCTGCGCAGTCCACGCCAGCGTCCGCCGGACCCCGCCCCCATACCACGTGGGGGCCCACATCGTTGGTGCGCCGGTCCCCCGCCCACCGGTGCCGCCCGCTAAGAAGGCGAGCCGCCGCAGCGCTTCGGCGCTCACCGTTTGAGCCACGTTATCCCTCCTTGGCGCAAAAAGGAGCACTCTGACGTGCCGAGGGTTCATCAGCCGGGCGTGGCGGCGGAGCGCTCCTGGTTGACGGCATCTCGGCGGGCGGAGGGGGTCCTCTCCACCCCCTGCCCAAGCGTGGGTGTTCGCATAAACCGACTCCGTGGCGTTGGCCCATCCCGCCGCGTGTCCAAAGGCGAGTGTCCCGGCCGGGAAGAAGAGCACCCCGTCCACTGCCGCCCCACTACAGCTTAGGTTCTGGTAGGCGCGACACGACTTCTGCTGCCCCTCTTGCGGCGCCTCCTGAACGACCATCACCACCCGTCCGCCTGCCTCCGCCGTGGCCACCGCCTTCTTGTACACTCTGGTGAGGGCCCCTTGCCCGTGGCGCGGGGTTTTTCATTTATCAGGGCTTGAAGGTGGGCAGCGCCCGTCGCAATAAAGCCTGTCCACCTGTTTTTCACACCTTTGAAAAGGCCGTTCAAACGCACCCTCTCGCCCCATGCAGCCGGCTGCTTGCTGGTGGCACTAGGGCCGCTGGGACGCGCAAGAAGAATGAGTAAAAAAGACGAAGATGGCGACGAGCACGAGCATGCCAAAGTGGGACTTCGCGTGCGGGTCGAGGGGCAATCCAAGCTCTCTTCACAGGGGTGTGGCCGTTACAGGTGGTCGGCCTTACTGGAGGACGGGCCCCGTGCGCGCTCCCAGCGCCGAGCCGCGGCCCCACGCGCCACCTGGGCTGCCTCTGGCACGGCCGGGGTCCGCCGAGAGGCTGGGCTTGGCCGGCGGCGCGACGCGTGGCCTGTGCTGCGTCCGTCTCGGACGTTCAAGCGGCGCCAGCCAGCGGCTCGGCCGCGCATCCTTCACACACGCCGCCACAACCGAGATGAGCGGGCCCAGTGTCGAGCCTTGATGTGAGCTGCATGTGCGCGGCGGCCGTGGCGACAGCAGGTCCACCAGACGGACCTTAAAGCTTGCCGTCGGCGTGCTGTCGTGGCGAGAGCGCGAGACAGCTGCAGAGGAGCCGAGTGCAGTGGCGAGCCAGAGGCTACCTGGGTCACCAAGTGGTGGTTCTTGCCCATTCTGAGCAGGGCTGTGCTTTGGTGGGGTTGTGCTTGAGCGTGTGTGAAGTGGGAGTGCGTGCCGGCGGTGTCTGTGGGTGAAACAGGCGTGTGTGAGGCCGTAAGAGCCGTGGTATGAGCCAGAGTGGGATTCATCACCCAAAATAAGGGCGGTTTGGGACAGCTCAGGCTTGATACTGATGGGCCTTGGCCAGGAGAGAGACAGAGAAGGCGAGGTGGTGAGCTGGGAAGCCGCTTTGTCTGCACCTGGACGTGTCGCGATGAAAAGTGCCAAGAAGCGCCTTTTGCGGCTATTGCTCAAAACCTTTGGAGAGAAGGCCTACACATTATGACTGCATCCATGCGTCTGGTGCATGAGGGCTGTGGATCGGGACATTTCACGGTCGGTGGCGCCGACAATGACCTCCGTAAAGCCCTCACAATCGCTCGGCACGGGCCACCGGGAGTGCTACACCGGAGCATCACGAGCCGGTGTGAGCTTGAAGACCCGAGATAAGTGCGGTCTGGGACAGCTCAGGCTTGCTACTGATGGGCCTGGGCCAGGAGAGCGACAGAGAGGGCGAGGTGGTGACCTGCAGAGCAGGAAATAGCGGTTCTAGGGACTGGTCCGCGACTAGGCCGCCCCCAGACACAGCCGCTATAGGTGCATCTCGACATCTATCCTGGCGTCACGCCGAGGTGCGTCCATGCGATTTCAAAGCTGATGACCCCGACGTCG